CCTAGGTGGATGCTCAGCCACGGAGCCACGCCGGCGGGCCTAGGCCCCTTACGTTTATTCTGTATTTGCCCTTACGTGACGGCGTGTTGGCAAGACTTCGCTTTAAAATGGTTCTGTTAAAAGATAAATCATGAGCTGAAACCGGTGTGGCTCAGTGGCTAGAGCGTCGGTCTGCGGACCGAAGGGTCCCGGGTTCGATTCCGGTCAGGGGCATGTACATTGGTTGTGGGCACATCCCCAGTGGGGGGTGTGCTGGAGGCAGCTGGTCGATGATTCTCTCTCATCGATGTTTCTAACTATCTATCCCTCTCCCTTCCTCTCTTTGAAAAATCAATAAAACATATTAAAAGATAAATCATGAATTCCTTCTGAGGTGGGAGAAGGTCACATTCCTTAAAGAGACATCCTCAGGGAAAGACACCGATGCAGGCAGTGGGGGGGGGGGAAAGAGACATCCTCAGGGAAAGACACCGATGCAGGCAGTGGGGGGGGGGAGGAGGGAGAGGAAGGAGGCACATTTGCAAGGAGCACCAGCAGCGTTGCCATGGCAGCGAGTTGGGCAGTTCTGATCTGCATGGAGGGGGGGTGGGAGGTTCCCGGTGTGGCTGTGTCCGTGTGGGCACCCCCTCGCGGGCAGGAAATGGGGGTGTCAACGTGAGGTCTGAGCAGCCGTGAGCGGGAAATGAGAGCGACTCGGACACTCAGAAGGACCCGCCTCCTGCCTCCCGCCCCGCTGAGCCGGAACGCGGGGGCCCACGGCCCTGCACCCATTTCACAGATGAGGAGGGGGAGGCTGTGAGAGTCAAGGTGACGCGGCCGAGGTCACGATGTTGGGGGGCAGAATCGGGACCAGAAGGTGGGCTCTCCACCAATACTGGTGTGGCTCAGTGGATAGAGCGTCGGCCTGCGAACTGAAAGGTCCCAGGTTCGATTCCAGTCGGGGGCATGTGCCTTGGTTGCGGACACATCCCCGGTGGGGGGTGTGCAGGAGGCAGCTGGTCGATGTTTCTCTCTCATTGATGTTTCTGGCTCTCTATCCCTCTCTCTTCCTCTCTGTAAAAAATCAATAATATATACATATATAAATATATATTTTTTTTTATTTTTTTATTTTTTTTAATAGATAAAATCAGCCGAAACCGGTTTGGCTCAATGGATAGAGCGTAGGCTTGGGGACTGAAGGGTCCCGGGTTCGATTCAGGTCAAGGGCATGGACCTTGGTTGCGGGCACATCCCTGGTGGGGGTTGTGCAAGAGGCAGCTGGTCGATCTTTCTCTCTCATCGACGTTTCTAGCTCTCTATCTCTCTCCCTTCCTCTCTGCAAAATATCAATAAAATATATTTTTAAAAAATAAGTAAAATAAAAATAAGAGAGTATGTGAGCTGCAGTGCTGTGGCCAGGCCGAGGCTCCCCCCTACAGGCTTGTCACCACCAGAGAGGGGCACCCCGTCCTCAGACACCCAGCTCTTCAGTGGGCACAGCCCCGCAGGCCGCCCCCGCTGGCTCTCAGCAGATCCCTCTGTGCCCGGAGGCACCCGGACCCCTGTCTGTGTGACCCTAAAACTACCTGCGCGCGCCTGCGTCTCCCCCCAGCCTGGGGCCCCGGTAGGGGGAGTCCGGTCGCACTGATCCTACCCTGTTCCCCGAAAATAAGACAGTGTCTTCTATTAATTTTTGCTCCCAAAGATGCGCTAGGTCTTATTTTCAGGGGTGTCTTATTTTTCCATGAAGAAGAATACGGCGCACATTTATTGTTAAATGAAAATAAAGGAAATTTATTCCCTGTATACGGTACGGTAGTACGGTCGTTGTCAACACAAACCAGACACACACTGTGAATCCTACAGTAGCAAGAATGTACTCATTTATTCAATGACAATCGTGTCATCATCTTCTGGAACGTCATCCTAACAATCCAATTCCTGAATTTCCTGGTGGATTTCTTGTGACTCCATTTCTTTCAGAATCAGTGGGCCAAATCTCTCATGTTTAGGCCTTATTTTCGGGGGGGATGCCTTCTATTTCACTCAGAAGGAAACCTGTAGGTAGGTCTTATTTTCGGAGGATGTCTTATTTTCGGGGAAACAAGGTATATCTGTCCCCAAAATGCCCGCGGGAATGAGGGCTTCGTCCCCCCAAACCTCACGGCATCCTTTCCCGCGACTCACTGAGCCACTCACTCCCACCGCACCTTCCCCAGTGCCCGTTCCTGCGACCCCTCACGGGAGCTGGGAAGGGGTGGGAGCAGCCATGGTCTGGTCTCAGAGAAGGATGCAGCCGTGACTGGGGCTTTGGGGGGTGCACCCCCACGCTCCCCTCCCTCACGGTGCACGGTGCCTGGCTGAGGGCCGGGGGCCTTTCTCCCAGCGCGCCCCCCCCCCCTAATTCAGAGCCCCCCCCCAACCCCGTGATGAGCTGGAGACTCACTCCCTCACAGGACAGACAGGGCCAGGCGCCAGCGGCATCGGTCTTCGTGTGACGCACACATGTCTGAAACGAGCGATTCCTGCAGCCGGCCCCCCAGACGGCACACGCGTGTCTGTGACACGGAGAGCCACGGGAGCCAAGAGGTCAGGGCACGGCGCTGTGGGAGGGGGCACGGAAAGGGGGGCGGAGGGCGGCTGTTGAGAGTTTGGGGCGGTGAATGCAGTGACTGTCCGACGTCCCTCCAGCCCTCCCCGAGACCGGATGCTGCAGGATGCCCTCCGGGTGGGCCCCTGGGCGATGCTTCCTGGCGCCGCAGGCTCTTCAGAGGAGAGAGCTGCAGAAAACAGAGAGAGAGAGAGAGAGAGAGGGAGAGAGAGAGAGAGAGAGAGAGAGAGAGAGAGAGAGAGAGAATATCAGTGGTCGGCTGCCTCCTGCACGCCCCCCTCCTGGGGATCGACCCTGTGACCCGGGCCTGTGCCCTGACCCAGGACCCTTTAGTCCACATAGGCCGAGCGCTAACCACTGAGCAACACCGGCCAGGGCTGGCTCTCCATCTGGGGCTGCGAGCGGGGAGTGCGGGCAGGTTGATTCTGTAAAGCCTGGGCTCCGGCTCACCCACGGGGAGCGCTGGGCTCCCTGGAGGCAGGAGCAAGCTGCGGGCGACAGGGCGCTGGTAAAAGCTAGACCACCTGCTCTGGGGCCGGGGGGATGGGTCCCCCGTGCCTGTGGGGGGGGGTCCCCACTGTCTGCGGTGTACCTACTCCCGCTGTGGCCACTGTCAGGCCACCAACTCGATGAGGTCACGGGATAGGAAGTTGGGAAGACGGGTGCAGACCGTCGGCACCCCGAAACGCACATGCGCAAGTGCCCGGCCTGAGTGAGGGTCAGGCGGGGCCTGGGGAGCGGCTGGGTCGTGAGGGTGTCGCCCCCAGCGATGAGATTAGGGCCTTCACATAGGAGACCCCCAGAGCTCCCGGGGCCCCCTGCCCTGAGCGGACACCGAGGGGTCGGCAGTCTGTAAGGAAAGGGGGCCCTCACCTGTGGCCCCAGGACTCACTCTGGTGAGAAAACGCCTCCTTTTTAAAAAATATACTTTATTGATTCTTTATAGAGAGAAAGAGAGAGGAGTACAGAGTCAGAAACATCAATGAGAGAGAAACATTGACCAGCTGCCTCCTGCACACCCCCTATTGGGGATGTGCCTGTAACCAAGGCCCATGCCCTTGACCGGAATCGAACCCGGGACCTTTCAGTCCGCAGGCTGACGCTCTATTCACTGAGCCAAACTGGTTTTGGCAAGTCCTGATTTTCTTTTTTTAAAAAAGAAAGATTCGGGACTGTCCCGCCAAAAGCGGAACGCCTGGTCACCGACTATGCCCGTGGCACGCGAGACCTGCGCGCGCGTGTGCGCGTTGTATAAGTGTGCGCATGCGCGTTTGCGCGTGCATGTGCGCGCTCGCCCTGCCGGCAAGAGGGGCCTCGGGTTCGGATTCGGGTTTGGCGCCAGGCCCCCTCCTATGCAGAGGACATGTGTGTGCGCGCGCGCACGCGAGCGAGAGCGTGTGTGTTGTGCACGTGTGTGCGGGCGCGCTTGCGCTAGCATGTGTGCGAACACGCTCCCAGGAAGAGGAGCCTCGGATTCGGGTTCGGGCTTGGGATGGAACATGGTCTGCGCCAGGCCCCCCTCCCCATGCAGACCCCGAGGGGGGCCGGCGCCCCCGTGTCCCGGCGCAGCGCGGCCTCTGCGGCAGACGGCGGAGCGCGCCCCGGCCGCGGGCAGCCCTCCCGGGGCGGTGCGGCACGCGCACGCCGCCGTGACGTCCTCGCATCAGCGCCCTGGAACTGTGTAGGCGAGGGCGAGCTAAAAATAAGAGCGGAAAATCTATCATTTAGGTATCGTTGCGCCAGCGCGGCTATTTGAAGGCTCCCATGGTCCCCAGCGCCGGCGGCGTTGGAAGCCCGCCCTCGGGCTCCGGGGGGCACTGGCAGAGAACGCCAGATCTCGGGGCGCTGGTCATGGTGGCAACATCCCCCAAATAAAGGCACGTCCCCCTCCCTCCCCTTCCCGTTCCCGCCTCGCCCCCCTGATCGGTCCTGTGCCGCAGGGGAAGCCAGAAGCCACAGGAGCGGGCCGGATGCTGACCTGGATGTGACCAGCCCTGGATCCGCAAAGACTAATAGTGAAGGCACTTGCGGGGCGCCTCCCGGCACCCTCCTCCGTCCCCCCGGAATCGGAGCCGCACACAGGAGGGGGCCTCTGGGGGGCAGGAGCAAAGGGTCAAGAGAGCGCGGGCTGCGGGATGATGAGCCTTCGGGGATGCCTGCCGCTACGTTAACCAACATGGATCCAATTTGCTTTTGAAGCCCCGGAGGGGTGGGAGGAGGGAGGCCGAGGGCGGGGTGCGCAGGCTTTGCGTTGGCGCGAGTGTGTCCGGGAGCGGGAGGAGGCGCCAAGGTGCGGGCTGCGTGGCTCTGCGCCTCGCGGGCTGCGTGTGCGTGTGTCCCTGTCCCCGCGCCGCGGAGCCGGGCGCTTCGAGGGACCGCGCGTCACCTGACTCCGCCTGCCCCTCGGCTCCCCGCTCCCTCCGGCTGCCAGGTGCCAGGGGGCAGCAGGCTGGCGCGGCGCCCCGGGGCCCTGCGGAGCGGCATGGTACCCCTGGATTGCAGCGGCCGTGGCGCGGCGCCAGATCCCGGAGTGTAGGCATTTGGGGGGCGGGGGAGGGGCGCGCCAGAAGGAGCCAGCGAGCCGGCGAGGAGCGCCGGGGAGAGGCAGCGCGCCGCGGGCACGGACCAGGGGGGCTGCGCGCGCGCGGGGAAGATGTGAGCGCCCGGAGGGGGTCTGGCTGGTCCTCCGGAGCACCATGCAGAAAGGGATCCGGCTCAACGATGGCCACGTCGCGTCCCTGGGGCTGCTGGCGCGCAAGGACGGCACGCGCAGAGGCTACCTGAGCAAGCGCAGCGCGGACAACGCAAAATGGCAAACCAAGTGGTTCGCGCTGCTGCACAACCTGCTCTTCTACTTCGACAGCGACTCCAGCCCCAGGCCCTCCGGCCTCTACCTGCTGGAGGGCTGCGCCTGCGAGCGCGCGCCCTCCCCCAAGCCCGCGCTCGCCGCCAAGGAGCCGCCGGAGAAACAGGTGAGGCCGCACCTGCCCTGCCGGCGCGGGGGAGGAGGGGGAGGAGGAGGGGGAGGAGGGAGGGATCGGGGCCTTCCGCCGGGCCCCGCGGGACCCAAACTTTGGTCCCGGGGCGCGGAGCGGGCAGGGGGCGCGGCTGCCCTTCACCCGCCACTTCTGGGGGAGGCAGGACGGAGGGATGGCGGCGCCGGGGAGCTGGGAGGGAGACGGGGTCCGGGGGGCATGACGGCGATGGGGAATGTGAACCCACATCCGGCCCAAAATGGTGCTCCCGGGGAGGAGCGCCCGCCTGTCTGCCCGGACCCGGGAGGCGCGGTGGCGGGGAAGGGAGAAGGGGGTTGCTCGGAGCGCAGCGTCCCTGCCTCCCCGCAGCCGCCGGGAGGAGCGGGGGCGCCTTCGCGGGCTCTGCCAAGTTCGCGGGGGCCGGTTGGGCGCCATCGCGTGGTGACGGGCTCCCCGCCGGTCCTGGTCCCCGCAGCACAGCCAAGGGGTCCAGGCGCCCCGCTGGCGCACGGGGCCGGGGTTGCGGCGGAGGGGAGGCCGCGGGCCGAACCAGTGGGGGCGCCCTCCTCCCCGCCCCCCGCCCCCACCCCTGCGTCTCCACCTCCGCCGCCGCCAGTGGCCGCCACCGCCGCCGCAGTCCCGGCGCCAGGGTTTGCTGAGCTGCCAGGCGACGGGCCTGGCCTGGATCTGCAGGGCCGGGCCGGTGGGAGAGGGGGTGGGGGTGCGGGCACCTGCAGGCCGGAGCGGGGACCCCCAGACGGGGAGAGAGCAGCTTAGGCGCAGGGCGCGCCCTCCTGCCGCCAGGATGGACCCGACAAGACGGGCGGGAAGGGGCCTGAGGGGTCCCAGGAGCCCCGCCAGCTGGTCACTACCCAGGGAGCACCCCCAACACACACACACAGGACACCACTTGCCCAGGTCATGCCAGGTGTTGGGGCTGCCTCGGCGTCGCCAGCAACTCTCAGAAGCCCTGGCTCCATCCAGACCCGGGGTGGGGGCGGGGCGGGGGCGGGGCTGGCCGAGATAAAGCATTGCTGCCGCTGCCTCCCCCCCCCCCCCCCCCCCGCTGCCCTCAACCTGGAATATTTGGGGGTGGGGGTGGGGGGATGGGGCCAGTAGGGGCTCCCTGATGCCAGAGCAGAGCGTGCATTCGGGTCTATAGGCCCCCAGGGGACAGCCAGACCCAGGCCCAGCCTGACACCCATGACCTGCCCCTCCCCCGGCCTCGGAGCCTTCCAGAACACAGCCACCCCTTGCCAGCCAAAGCCCCCCACCTCTGGGAGACACTGGTGGCTGGAGGCATCAGCGGGAACCCACCTGGGCCCTCAGCCCCTGCTCAGAGCTGAGCTCCCTGGGAGGGAGGCAGGGAGAGAGGGCGGGAAAGACTAACCTCCTGGGGGGCTTGGGTCCCCCCTCCCCCTCGGAAGCCAGGAGCAGGCCTGAGTCTGCGGCTCAGCTCTGCCACTTCCTGGCTGTGTGACCTCAGGGAGCACACTCAACCTCTCTGAGCCTCCGTGTGTGATCCACAAAATGGGGGTCCCCACACCTAGCATTCTGGGGGGAGGGGGTGTGAGCACAATTAAATAACACGTATGAACACGTACTCATGACGCATTTGAGCTGGATCTAGATCCATCTCAGCTGGGTCTGAATTATATCCCCCTGGACAGGGAATAAAGGCCTGGCACAAAATGTAAACGCCGAAAGGTCCCTCAGACATCATACACCCCTCCTTCCCATTTTTTTAAATATATAAACTAGAGGCCCGGTGCACAAAATTCGTGCAAGGGGCTCAGCTTTTGCAGCCCCTCCCCCCCACTTCTGGAAGGTGGTTCTGCTGTCTGGTCTAATTAGCATATTATGTTTTTATTATTATTATTATATGTTTTTTTAATTACCTTCAGAGAGGAAGGGAGAGGGAGAGAGAGAGATAGAAACACCAGTGATGAGAATCACGGATCGGCTGCCTCCTGCACGCCCCCTACTGGAGATTGAGCCCGCCTCTCGGGCCTGTGCCCTGACCGGGAATCGAACCCTGACCTCCTGGTTCACAGGTTGATGCTCGGCCTCTGAGCCACGGCAGCCGGGCCTCCTTCCCGTTTTGCAGAGAGGGACTGCAGCGCAGAGCGGAGGGAGCTAGCCGAGGTCTCGGGGCATCGGTGGCGGACGCAGCCCTGGGTCTCACCCCATGTCTAAGAATTCCTGGAGAGGCGACGGGTCCTCTGCGGACTGCAAACCACTCAGCTCGGGGCTCAGGGCCTGGCTCAGGCCAGCAAAGGATTGTGGGAGGAGCAGAAGCGGGAAGAAAATGGGGGCGGAAGGGTGGGCGATGGCCTGGTGCCCCCCAGCTCAGGTGCAGATGCCCATCAGGGCTGCCTTATCTCTGAAGACCCTGCTGCTCTGGCCTGTGTGTGTCTACGAACACGGACAGCTTGTTCCCGTCTCGGTCTTGGAGTAAAACAAATGACCCTAGCCGTTAGCGGCTCCATGTTTCCCCTGGGCCTGGGTGCCCTGTGCCCCACCACCACCACCACCCAGAGCTCTGGCCCAGTGCCCAGCTCCATCTGCCTTGCCTTGGGGCCCCCAGGAAGCTTCTGACTCCAAACGTGCTGGCGCGTGGCCGGGCACCCACACCAGGAGGCCTTCAGGAGGCTGACCATGTGACTGGACTGGCTAGTATCTGTGAAGATGCGGTGTTAGTCAAGATGTGGTTCTTATCCAGGTGTAAACAGGCAGCTTCCACCCAGAAGGACCACGGACAAGTTTCTGAAGGAACAGAAACCAAACCTTGGCTGGGAGCGCCCCCAAATAGGGGGAGTGGGTCGGGGACGGAGCACATAACAGGTGCGCAGGAAGTGGGTCAGGGATGGAGCACATAGTAGGTGCGCAGGAAGTGGGTCACGGATGGGGCACGTAGTAGGTGCACAGGAAGTGGGTCAGGGATAGAACACATAGTAGGTGTGCAGAAAATGGGTCAGAAATGGAGCACGAAGTAAGTGCGCAGGAAATGCCTACTGAAGTGAACTTGCTGGTGCATCTCATTCTAATTCTGCATTTTACGTATCTATCTATCTATCTATTGTATCTATCTATCTATCTATATATGTATGATTGATTTTCCACAGAGAGGAAGCGAGAGGGATAGAGAGCTAGAAACATCAATGAGAGAGAAACATCGACCAGCTGCCTCTTGCATACCCCCTACTGGGGATGTGCCTGCAACCAATGTACATGCCCTTGACCGAAATCGAACCTGGGACCTTTCAGTCCGCAGACCGACGCTCTATCCACTGAGCCAAACCGGTTTCGGCTGCATTTTACGTCTTAAGGGCCAACTGGGCTCAGAGGTCTGAGGCTCCCAGGCCTCGTGGAGCTAGGCTGGCACCGCCAGGCTCTGGTGCCCACTGGCGGCTGCAAGGCCCCTCCGTGGCCTGGGCCCTGTTCCCTCAGCACCGACCCCCCTCTCCTCTGCGCCCTACAGCCACATCCTGGAGGCAGAGGCCCCTGAACTTGAGAGTTTGGGTTCGGCTTCTCTACTGGTTGCCCCTTGAGATTCCTTGCCCTGCCTTTGGCATGGAGTTACCCCAAAACTGGCTTTTCTCACCCTCACTGCCAGCTCCCTGGAAAAAACCTTCCAGCCCCAGCTTCTAGCGAGGGGGAGAGGGGGCCCCAGCGCTCACCGCCACCCAGGAGGGGTCACAGTGTGGACCCCAGGCTGCCCCTGATTCATGCTGGACAGACTGTAGAGTAGGGGTGTCGAACTCAATCAGAGAAGGGGCCAAAATCTAAAATCCAGCCTAAATCGCGGGCCGAATGGTTTACTGAACAGTCATAAACTGTCATTGTGATGGAAACGCAGCGGAGTGCAGTGATGACAGCGCGGTGCGGGCCACATTGCAAGGCCTGGCGGGACGGATTTGGCCCGCGGGCCCTGTGTTTGACACATGTGCTGTAGAGCCACTAACTCATTGAGCCCTCAGAGCTCCGGGAAGCAGGCACTATTAGTGCCTCCATTTCACAAATCAGGGGGAGCAGAGAGGGGGGTACGAAGAAGTATAGGCAGCGTGGCCAAGTCGGCCAACTAGTTAAGTTTCATTACAAATGAGGGGACACGGACAGCTCCCTCACCAGAGCGTGGGCAGTGCTGTGGGTGGGGGTTCTGGAAGCTGGGGGACCCACAGTGCCTGCTGGGTGTGCACCCAGTGGCCACGTGCTGGGAGCTGTCCCTCCACCCAGCCGCCCATTCAGACGCTCCGCATCCGTGGGGTTGGTTCCCCTCCACGCGCATAGGACCACCAGAGGCTCCCACAGCCCTTAGATATGAAGCAAAGCCGGAAGTAGAGCCTAAGCGCCCCGCCCCCACGGGTCCTAGACCCCGCCCCACATGCCCGCTCCCGCCCCTAATTGGTCTTGGCCCCGCCCACACACCTGATCCTGCCCCTACTTAGCCTTGGCCCCGCCCACACACCTGGTCCCGTTGCTACTTGGTCCTGGCCCCGCCCCCACCTGGCCCTAGCCCCGCCCCTTTCCCTGAGGCAGGAAGTAGCTCAATTCCCCGGTGGATTCTGATCTACAACTGCTCTGAGGATGTGTGTGTGCCTGGTTTACGGAGGGGGGTGGCAGTGACTGAGATGTATGCTCTGGGTTTTACACACACACACACACACACACACACACACACACACTAGAGGCCCAGTGCACAAATTCGTGCACCAGTGGGGTCCCTCAGCCTAGCCTGTGAAATCAGGCTGAAACCGGTTCTCAGACATCCCCTGAGAGGTCCCAGATTGCCAGAGGGCTCAGGCCAGGCTGAGACCCCACTGGTGCACAGTCAGGGCCGGGGAGGGAGGCTGGAGGTTGGCCAGCCAGGGAGGGACCAAGCGAGGGCTCCAGGGTGTGTCCAGCCCGCCTCGCCCAATCCCAATCAGCCGGACCCCAGCAGCAAGCTAATATACTGGTTGGAGCATCTGCCCCCTGGTGGTCAGTACATGTCATAG